CAGGTTTTTATAATTTCTAACTACGTATTCCACAATATTGTGTGTCAATCGAAAGAACAATTTCTGTGCGTAATATTTCCTGGCTCTTGAGTAATATCCCCCTTTCTTTAACCAAAAGCTTAAAGTGAGTAATGAATTTTGGAGTCTGCAGCTTGTCCACTAAGCTGCCAGCTGCCAAATGCCAACTGCAGTTTTAAGCCAAATAAAATGTCAGAAGCATAAACTGAAATAATTCCTGGTGAAAAGCCAACACAGCTGATGAAAAAGCTTCTATCCTGCTATTTATTGCCAGCTATTAGTATATATATCAAATTTAGCCGGCTCTAATTGAAAATGAATGGCTTTTTGGGTAACCCGAGTGCTCCGCTTTGTTCTAAGCTCGTTTCAATACGTGGTTTCTTTTCATCAAGGAATTTCCATACCCCGCTGCCATTTTCTTTGTGAGGAATTTTATGGGAAAATCTTTCGGGATTTCAGGGGGCTTAGGTGCGAAATGTTGGCAAAAAAGCCAGACATGAATTTTAAAACATCACAGGACTTTTTTGACTTTGTCTAAAATGTTGGCCTTGGGATAAGGATAAGTGAAGCCGAGTTTTCCTTTTCCCACTTCTGCCAGAGTTCAGTTAGGAAAATTGGAGACTGGGAAATTACCACAATATTGTTAATCAAATAGTTGTGAATGTTCGACACAAAATGGCTATTCAAATAATTGTGGTTATGCTATCCTTTTTTTAAAAACCTCAAAAGTATTTTATTTCAGAGAAATAAAATAGCACTCAACGAAACAATCAATCATTTCCTAATGACAGCTCCAAATGGACATTTAATACCTTGTCTCATTCCAATTCAAGACTTATTAAATATTAAAGCCCTGACTTTGATGGCCATCAGCCGAGAAGTTTGGTAAAATTCGATTTCATTTTGGCCGGCATTTCCCTCTCGTTGGGTCAAGAACCTCGGTCTTGAAGCAACAGAACGCAAATTACGGGATTGAAACAAAGGGCGAAGGCCGTAAAGCTAAATGAAGCAAGGCTAATACCTTAGAGTGGCCCAGGATAGTTTCTAAAATTGGAAGAACTGTCTATGAAAGAATTATTAGAAGGTAGCTTTTATTTTATTGTAATACTATACTCCTTATTATTTATTTTTGTTAACAGGGTGTTGAGATAAGCTGTCATATTTTATTATAAAACGTTTCTTATTTTTAGGTCAACTTGTCTTTTCCTAAGAAACAAGAGCTTATTAATTTCCCTAAGGACTTAAATCATTTTATTAATACTTATTATTACTAATAGTATAGTTATCTTTTCCTGCTTGGGATATACCAGCATTTCTTTAAAAAGTCTTATAATATATTTCCATTATTATAATAATATATTATTATTTTCAGCTGGCGGTTCACCCTAAAGCAAGTGAAAGGCGGTGCGTCATATCCGTTTTTGGGCCGAAATGTTTCTGTTTACGGTTCGCGTGAAAAAAAGCTTGAGCGATTTGGGGAACCGGGTGTTATGCTCACATGTGGAAGGAGCCAACAATGGTGTGACTTATTACTCGGCATTATCCTGTGACTTAGTTCCTCGCGGAGCTCGAGTACTCGTCATCGGGCTGGCATCGATTTTGTGCCCTTGGTGGTTTCCCCAGGCCTCCCCAGTTAATGGAGTTCCAGGGGCGATGGCAGACATGAAAACAATACCAAATACTGGGTATTGTTCTTATTTCTAGTCGGTTGTCGGCTGCCTGTCTGTCTGTGTCCCGAGTATCCTGTCTATGTGTGTCATAGTTGCCCATAGTTACCCAGGACCCCAACAACAGGGAGCCAAGAATATTCTGGGTTAGCGGAAGTCCTGGCCGAGGACTTTATTAATCCTTTGTGTATATTTAGCGACCACTTTATGAGTTGGCGGCCATATATCTTCCTGTTGATTTATGCCAAGTGTAAATTGACCCAAGCGCTCCTTCTTTTGCTGCTACAATTTCCTCTTTTTCATGGCAGACGTTAATTTTTGTTTGCTTTAACTTGAGAAAATGACCCAAAACGATTGTTCAAAGAGATTTATGGTGTTTGTACTCAAAGAACAAAGGCTTCCCTGGGGAAAAGAATACTTCCCACGTATTTACTACATTTTCATAGTTTCATAATCTATCCATAGGGAATTATTTAAATAAGCTGAACTAAATGCCAATCAGGAATTGAATTGTTTCCTAAGAATCTGTGAGTTATTTTAATATAAATAAAGGTTTAATCAGTATTGGAAAAAAATTAAATAAATAATATTTCGTTTAAATGACTTAGCATTATGCTTTCATGATGTGCTTCCATTAAGGAGCCTCGTCAAATTATGAATAGCTTTTCAATGCTTTATAAGCCATCACGGAATCGAACCAACTCGAAGGATCCAAAAAGGCCAATACTTGGCAACCAATCTCGACTACATCGAAGTGATTCGATTTAACTTCCAGTGGGTGTCAGGGGGTGTTTTTGGGTGATTGGGGAGTTTCGTGCCACCCCACATAATTAGGGCCAATGACAATCCTATCGGTCTGCAGGAACTGCACCACCGAAGCTCCGTTTCGATTTATTTGGACCCCGTTGTCAGGACGACAGACGGCCACCTGGCCACTAAGAATTGGGCACAACAAAGCCATTCGGAAAAGGCGTTAAGCCACTTGGGTGTTTTCAAAGGGCGGCACATTTAGTGCGGTCAGATTCGAGGGCAAAAAGTGAACAATTCCGGGGAATGTAGCCTGATGGCCCCTTTTGCTGATTGCTCCACTCTGCCCAATTGTTCCAAGAAAGAAAGGGTTTTTGTTATTTTTACCAGAGTTTCACGATTCGGCTGGTAAAGAAAACAAACGAGAAAAAAAGGAATTGCTAACTTCCCTTAACTCATGGTCAAAAGGAAAAAGTTTTAAAAGATTTTTTAAAGGGTTCAACTTAAGCATTAATAGCTTTTTCAGTATTTCGTGAACTGACTTCGGATTTATATGTTTGGAATCTAGAGAAGAGAAGAAGAGCTAAAAGTTTTACTTGATTTAAAAGCAATATTTGTGTGACTTGTATTTAGTTTTAATAAGTAGAAAAAGATGATATTAAATTAATACGGTTTGTTATTTTGCGAAAATGATTGAATACTTGAGGTATTTTTAAAATTTTCCACCCCAAATATAGAAAGAATTTCTTGAAAAACTAAGGTCAATTGACAGTCAAACACAAGTACAAGGGCGCATGGGTTAAATTTCTATAGATAATACTAAATAGTTTCCGATAATATAAAAAATACCATTAAAACACAGCGCACTCGAAATTAAACAACTTTTACTGAATTTCGAATGAGTCTGGTGAAATCAAAAGTTTGGTCGGGTAGTGCTTTCGTTATCGTTATCATTCGGAAGTCAATAAATGACAATTTTTGTTAAGGGTTAAACTCATAAATACAGCCTGTTATCTTATAGATTACCTCCCTGTTGCGATGGCAAAATCCCTATTTGAGTCAGTTGATGACGAGCAATCGGTGCAGAAGTTTTCCTAAACCTCTCCATTAAAGCCAAAAATGCAGTGTTTAAGTGCTTATTTAGCCCTTGTGGCTTTCGGTTTCTGTATATCCGCAGGAATGTCGGATCCCATAACCTCCATACAGCTTCAAGAGGTGAGCTAGGCACCCCATGCTTATAAAAATGTTCTACAGTCGCCCATCTAACTAGGAAATCAATACCACATCGGATGCTCTCGCCTCTATTGATAAGCTTTTGCTTGGGTATGTACAAAAATATGCAAAATCTCATTTTCTAATTTCTTAATCTAATCTATCAGCTTGGAGGATCGCCGACAGTCCTTGCTTCACATAAAGGAATCTATCGCAAATGACAGCGGTGTCATCTATCCCACATCCTGTCTCACCAAAGACAACATCAACCATACCAGTCTTATAGTTCAGGTGCCGGGACACAATGCCTTCCCAGTTGTCTGCGATTCCAATCTGGCCGGACTGGGCTGGTTGGTCATTCAGAGGCGCCGGAATGGACTGGTAAACTTCTATCGCGACTGGAATGATTACAGGGCGGGATTTGGCGACCCGAACGGCGATTTCTTCATCGGCCTGGAGAAACTGAATTGGCTAACAGCCTATCAGCCATTCGAACTCTATATCCACCTGGAGGAATGGGAATATTACAAGAATGTGTTCGCCAAATACGATGAGTTTCTCATTGGCAATGAATCCGAAGACTTCGCCCTGAAATACCTCGGAGCTTACTCCGGAACCGCTGGAGATTCCCTAAGAAACAACAAAGGCCAACGGTTCTCCACACTCGATCGGAAGAATGATGACTCTTATAACAAACATTGTGCTCAGTTTCATCTAGGAGGTTGGTGGTATAAGGATTGTGGACAGAGGTATGTACATATGGATCAAATACAATCGCTCTCCTAAAGAATACTGTCATCACTAGTTCAAGAGTTTGTATTAATGGTTATCAGCCTTGTCTAAAATTACAATTTCTTATTCGTTATCAGTGATATATTTTTCCACTTGCAAACCTATACTTATATGTAAAAAAAACTGTACTAAGTTATGACAGGCATACTGTATAGGAGGAATTTAATTTATTGCGTACATCCGCTTACTTTTGTAATATATTTATAGTAATCTAAATGCTCAATATTTTGATTATTATCGCGATTTGCCCGAGGACAAAGCGCGTTACATCGGCTGGGATTCATTTAACACCTCTGCACCTCTAAGTTTCGTTCAATTGATGATTCGTCCAAAGTTTGGAGGTTTTTAAACAGTGACATCTAAAGAATGACATCTTTTTTTCTTTATGCTTTTTTAATACAAAGTTTTTGTGCACATGTTGTCTAATTAAAAATTATTTTAGGGGAAGTACTATAATATAAATGGAAAAACCAAATTGGTAGATTGTCGCCATTCGCTTTTGAAGCACTTGCCTATTTTTCATTATTTTTAACATTCCGGAACTTTTCTATTTAATAAACTTACCTGTTGTTCCATTTTCTGATTTCGACTGTTAATTGCGGACATTTTGCAACTTTGGCGGTAAGTTTCAGAAGGTAAACTTGGTTTTATGCTGGATTCCAGGCAACTACACGATTCCGATGATTCGAATGAGGGGCATTTGGCAAATTTTGGGTTACCAGCTGTTTTTGATTTTTGTTTTTATTTTTAAGGGACTACCCGACGCGAAGGGGAATGCGAGTAAATGCAGCAAAACAAAAACCGAGGGGGTAACTAAAAACAAGAAGAATCGACCAAGACACCTGGCCTGTATGGCGTATGTGCCACTGTAGTTTGTAGGATTGTAGTATTGTAGTTTGTTCAACTGTAGCACACGCGACACAAAAAATCAAGGGGTGTTCGAGAGGACGAGGGCGGGAAGACTGAAGCCGACAGCCGGCTCTTTCTGTTCTCGCTCTCTTTCTTCTTTTCCAACACGATCGATTGTTTTTCTCCGGATTGCTCACCGATCGGGGGGGGGGGGGCACTCTTTGAATGTTTGCTTTAGCTCTCGAAGGGCACTCAAAATATTTATATATATTTATTTTTATAATACTATATGCTATAATTTTTATTTTGGCAAACACTTTCGTGCTCGCTGAGTTTCGTGTGATATTTGCCAACTGAGTGGTTTTGGCGCCTCTTTTTTGGTAGCGGAGAGAAGGCGAAGTATCCCGTCGACCGAACCGCACGCTGCCAAAACAACAACTGGCGATTACCAGAAGCCAACGACTCAAGCGAGGTCCTCGGGCTAAATGGAATGGATTGCCGAATGGGGCACGAATGCCATATGCCGAACAAAGTAATCCTGTCGGGTGTCAGCAAGAGAGCGGGAACAGAGAGAGAGAGCGAAAGGGAGATAGAGACCGGCTCTCTCCACTCAGCGAACCCCCGCCTGTGCCTGCTTCCTCTTCCACATCCTGCGACAGATGTGCAGCTGCCGAGTGCATTCGGATTTAGCTCCCCGCCTCCTTTTCGCCAGGATTACGGAACGCATTCCCGTACAAAAGCAGCGTAATGTTCACATATCCATTTGATAATTGCATTCCGGATTTTGAACAATCAAACGGGTAACAGAAATTCAGCAAATTGATTGAAATAATTAGTTTGAAGCAACCTTAAAGTCAGTTTTTAAGTCCTTATAACTAGTATTGCATTGACTTAATACTTCGTTCAGGACATTTAAAAATTATTTAAAATTAATAAAGAAAATATCTTCAAATAAGGTCTATTTTTGGGTAAAGCCTGGGAACACATTAGAATATAAATATTAAAGTTATTTGCTAAATGTTCAATCATGGTTTTAACGTTTATCTATCAATTAATCTTTTGACCAACAACCGGAAATCGCAGTAAACATGTTTCTTTTTATGTTGTTATGTTGTTGATATGTTGTTATTAAACCCAAGCGAAAAGTGGGTAGCAGGCATATCACATTTGCACAAATTTATAAACAAACACTTACAATGTTTATGCTATGAATTGCACGCATTCTCGATTCAATAAAATAAAAAATAGCTCCTTTTTTAACAGCACAGACAATGAAATGATATCAGCAGAGATGTCTGATTGTTCGAAATTTATAGAGAGTGTTGAACCCATAGTAAACATTCAACTGTTATAAAATTCAATGATATTTTTGCACACACGATGTGCCCATTTAATGAAATGATTCCATGAAATATGCAAAGCACAGTAACTTGTAGATTCAATTAGTCTTAAAATCCTATAGATTTTGTTCTTAGAACTCATAATTCCCCCTGATCTCCCTATTCAGCCATAAAGAAAATAAATTCATTTGCGTTGTCAAATCGCGTGTTTTATTTCATTAACATTAGTCTTAGCCTAAGATGATGATAGGTAAAATTAAATAACAAAAGAAAAAGATTTTGTCTCAGAACAGCGTTCTGGTAAATTCGATTGAAATTGCCTTGTCATTTATGAGGTTCCTTACTAGTTAGCGTTGTCAGTTTGGCTTAATGGGGAGTCTCTTTCGAAGAGGTTGCCAAGATCTTTAGAAGAACCTGTGCTTTTTCTTCTTCTTGCCCTCCCCCTCCGCCGGCGGCTGGGGATCCACGGAAACCTGACGTCTGGGCAGCAGGGGTGGTGGACTAACATCCCCTTCTCCATCTCCAAGTGCACTTCCATTGCCATCCACTGGCGACAGAGGACGAGGTGTTCGCAGGATGGAGGTCAGCGGGGGCAGAGAGCCCTCCTGGCCATCCTCCTCGATCCTGTCCAGCCGCGAACCGTGCACCGAAGCCATCTCCGAGGGAGTCTTCACCTGCGAGCCGCCCTCGTCGCCAAACTCACTGGCCATATTCATGCCAATGGTGGCACCCACCTTGGCACTGGCCCGCTTGAAGTGATCGCTCAGCTTGATCTGCACCACGTTGATGAACATGGAGGTCAGGGCCAGGCCGAAGATCAGGTAGATCATGCTGACCATCACGAGGAACGGGTTGCCGGGCACAAGGTCGCCAAATCCGATGGTGGACATCGAGATGAAGACGTAGTAGAAGCAGTCCAGGTATTGCCAACCCGGCTCCATCAGCTTAAAGCCAAAGGCGCCCAGCAGGATGTACGAGATGAGCAGGAGCGTGGCCACCGACACGGGCAGATTGAACTCGTCGTCCACCTCGAAGGTCTCCGGATACGGCGATGTGGGCGTCTCTGGGTGCGAGGTGTTCAGCGAGCGGGCTGCCTCGGCATCCGCCTGCGACTCTTCGTCATTCTCCACATTGGACTTGCCAAAGAACATGCTCGGTCGCCGGATGGCCATGTCGTAGACCGTGTTGAAGCCGGTCATTGCGTCACGGATCTGCTGCTGTTTCCGTATCCGGCGACAGGAGCGGGTGTAGTACACACGCCGCACATACGCCCACAGGAACTTGACGCAGCGCGTGAACACCTTGCCCAGATCGGCCAGCACGATCAGGAACATGGGGATGCCGATGATGGCGTAGACGATGGTCAGAGCTCGGCCCCAGTCCGTCTTTGGTGTGATGTGGCCGTATCCTAGAGAGCAGAAGAAAAAAGGTGGGGTTTAAAGAGGATTTCGTATGTTAATAATACAACTATGTTAGTTATAACAAATATTTTAAGAGAAAATATACCACTATCTTTAGAGCTGCGTTAACGTCAGTAAGAGATGGTAATAAATAAGAGATTAATAAGATGGTAATGATTTCAATATAAGAAATCTATAAGGCCTATAGTTTACCGAACCAAAAAATAAGTATTAAAAGATAACCTTTCATATAATAAGTCAATAAAGTAAAGACCAATGATACAATCTATTCTCAACGTAACTTTCTTGAAAATTGATGAGCTTTCGCCATTTTTGGTATAGGTATATCTATTTGACAACAGAAACATATTCCACTCAACACACATACTAAAAACCAATGATACAATCTATTCTCAACGTAACTTTCTTGAAAATTGATGAGCTTTCGCCATTTTTGGTAAAGGTATATCTATTTGATAACAGAAACATATTCCACTCAACACACATACTGTAAAACATGAAAAACCACTTTATGGTTTAGGTGATTATGCCTTTTAGGGAAGATCAAACCAACATTGTATTCCCATAGATCTATTACCTATGGTTGTGATTACGGTCCAACAGAAGATAAAGCAATTGACAAAGTTCCATGACTTTTGGCCCGGAAAACGTCGCAGCCCCAACTCAGCCAGGTTATTGAGTTCATCCTCAAATGTGCGCAGCTTGTGGCGCGCCAGAGACTTCCAGTCTTCCTCTCTGGCAAAGATACAAATGGATCACTTACTGGCCTGCCAATCCGTATGGGTTCCTACCTCATGTTGTGACTGACATCCCACAGTTTGTCGATGAAATCCCGCTTGACCTTGCGCACCTCGCACTTGTATATGTTCTCCGCGGCTCCCTCCGTGTATCTGAATATGAGGCCTCCGAAACCCAAGAGCATGGCCAGGCAGATGAGGTGGGCCACGCACTTGTTGCGCAGCTGACGCAGCTCCTCCATCCTCTGTGGGTAGTCCAGCTTAAGGCGTTTCCATTCATGCCGGGCCTCCAGGTGGAGGTGGTATAGAAAGGCCCTGGAGGCCAACTTCTCCGGCTGAGGTTCCTTGGACAAATCTATGACATCCTCACTTTCAACATTCTTTTTTCGCCGGAACAGGTTTTTGAGGCGCTGCAGGAAGGTTACCTTTGGTTCGGTTTTTGGTTTGGATTCCTCTGGTAACAAGGGCAGTTCCACATCCAGTTCTGGTCCTTGTTCTTCTGGTTCTTGCTCATGAAGAACAACTTCTTCCGTGACTTGGGGCTCCTGGGCTTTCCTCTCCAGGCTGCCCGATCGCTTGGCCACCAGCGGTCGCTCCAAGCTGGAACTGCGCTTTGGAGGCTTCTCCTCCTTGTCGGCCAACCTCAAGCTGTGACTGCGACGCACTCCCTCCGCCGAGAGGATCTGCTCCGCCAGGGCAGCCTCCGCCTTGGCCGCCCGCTCGGCAGCCTCCATGTACTTCTGCATCAGCTCCGACTGCTGTTCCGCCTCCGAGATCATGGGCTTTACCTCTTCGTTCCTAGTCTCGCCCACCTCCACGTACTCGTGCTTCCGGCTAATCTGCTCCCGCTGCTCTGGGGTCTTGGAACGTCGCTGGGGTCTCACAGGCGACAGGGAGTTGTTGCGACTCACGTACAGTTTTTCTGGAGGTTTTGGAGTCACCATTTGCGCTGGTGGTGGTGGTGGTGCCCCGCGAATGGGAGCAGCCACAAAGCCCTGTGGAATCTTTGGTGCCCGTGGCCTCTGATGAATCTCTTCCACTGCCTCGGCGTCGGAGGAGCTGAACTGCGTGGAGGACTCGTCGTAGCCGCTGCTTCTATTGCGACCACGAATCTTGGGCGCCTCCTGCCGCTGCAGCCTCAGGCTGTGGATGAGCCGCCGTCGCTCCTCCTCGTCCTGCGGCAGCTGGATGCGATCGCTGAGCTTGCGGTAGCTCTGCAGCAGGCGCTTCCGCTCCTCGTTGTCCAGCTGCTGGCGATGACGCATCTTGTGCTCCCTCTTCTCGCGCTCAAAGAGACGCTTCTCGGCATCGAAACGGCGGCGTTCGTCCTCGAAGCGCTGCAGATTCTGCTCCAGTCGGCTGAGGGTGTCCTGCGTCTGGCCGGGATTAGAGTTGGGCAGAGGCCGGCGGCTGCTGCTGCCAGTGGTCAGCTCGCTCTCGCTGGACTCCTCCTTGTGGCGCGGCGAGGAGAGGCTGCGATGCTTGATGAGATGGTTGGCATCCGGACTGCTCAATTTCTCCGCTTCCCTGGGCTGCGATTGACTGCGTGCCGAGGAGCTAGCGAAGCTCTTGTCCCGCTTCCGCAGGATCTTGCTCTCGTGGGCGGACAAAGTGCCGGGGGGTCTAATTTGCATGCGCACCATCTGAGGCGAGGGATCTGGAGGGGATGTCTCCGGACTGGCATCGTCCTGGAGCACCTCCCCCGTCACGGGCGTCGGTTCCCGGTGGCTTCGTCCCAGACGTCTCCGATGACGCTGCTGCTGTCTGGCGTCCACTGGCTGCTCCATCCCCTCCAGACGCTGCCGTGTGCTACTTTCGCGATCTATCTTTGTGCTCGTGCTCATGCTCTAGCATTCTATTTTTAACTGCCCAACGAGACGTTCATATTCCGCATATGAAAATATGCCTCTGGGTAATTATATCACTTTCGATTGCAGTTTCGTATTTCCTTTTCTTATGCACTTGATTTAACTTTAAGGTACGACACTTTTCCTATTATTTTCCTATTATATTTATTTGAAAATCGCATTTGCTTATAAGAAATTCTGTATCTTTTTCTTTAAAGTAGAGATCGTAGCGCTCAACGCGATTTAATAGATTTAGCAGACTCGCCCACGGCTGGCACCAAACTGCTGAGAGTGTGGAGAAATTTAAAATTTTCAATTTCAGTTGTCTATATTTTTGGTAGATATCCCAACAGCTGTTCGGCCATAGCTATGTCAGAAAGTATCTCCTATATCTAATGCATCCAATGATGTGCGAGATTCTCTCTCTTATTGTGCTTGCTCAACATATTCTAAATGAGTAATAGGAATTTTGTATATGTATAATTGCAACGAGTGCCTTTTTAGATTACTGAAATCTAAACAATTTATCAATCGCTAATTCTTATTCAAATTCTTACTCCACCCAAAACATGGCCTCATTAATAACATGACTTTAAAAAGCATTATAAGACATACAGTGATCGCTCAAAAGAGTGCCATCTTGGAGGAGTATATAAATTTAATTTATCAGATTCATTTTATAAATATGTTGAATTAAAAAAAAACGGTTTTTTAGATAATCACAGATGTCAATTAGTCAAAAGTTTACAAATATCTTACACGAGCACGTATTTTACATAACATTGACATGACGGTTATGTAAATTAACAACGCATCTAAACAAGGCAAAAAAATACTAAGCTTTAAAAGTGAAAAACAGATAAGCATGATAAAACGCACAGAATCGTTAAAAATTATATTTTACGTTGCTAGAGTTAAAAATGTAATATTTGCAATTTGGGATAGATGTTTTAAAAATTCCGCCACTTTACTCAAGTGTGACCATCAAAATACCAAAGAAAACATCTCGTATATACCGAAACACATGGCTGCAGTAATCGATGTATCGATTTCGAAATTCCAATTTCGTCCGTCTCTAAATATTTTGGTTGATCGAACGCGCACGTGTTTTGTGTTCAATATTTTTAATTTAATATTTGAAAATGGGATTCGGTAAACCTCGTGGCGGCGGCGGAAGAGGATTCGGTGGTGGCGGCGGCGGCGGAGGACGTGGAGGAGGCGGCGGCGGCTTCAGATCCAACGGAGGCGGCGGCGGTGGAGGATTTGGAAGAGGAGGAGGTGGCGGAGGATTCGGCAGAGGAGGAGGCGGTGGACGTGGAGGTGGCCGTGGAGCCTTTGATAATGGTATGTTGATGGCAATACTCAAATATCCAAAGAACTCCCCAACAAACGAGTATAACAAAGATAGCAACGTCACATTTACCTCTTTGGTTAATACAACCTTTAATGGACCAAAGAAAAACCACGTTGTTTACTTATATTTCTTCGAACATTCCCATGAAAACTATATATATGTACATGGTTCTTTAGAGAAAATCAGTGGTTTATATTAAGAAAACACCGTCTGGAAGTGTCTTCTAAAATATCCACCATCCCACTTTCAGGCAAATTGCCAAGTTTTCCTAGTCTTCCACAATTACTTAAATAGTTTTTCTTTAATTTTAGGACCCCCGGAGAGAGTTATACCTTTGGGTGACTTCGTCTACTCGTGCCAAAACGACCTTGTGTGCAAAGTTGGTATTCAGGATGTTCCATATTTCAACGCGCCAATCTTCCTCGAAAACAAGGAACAAGTGGGCAAAATTGACGAAATCTTTGGAACAGTTCGAGATTACAGCGTGTCCATCAAACTGTCGGACAACGTCTATGCCAACAGTTTCAAACCAAACCAGACATTGTACATCGACCCTGCAAAGTTATTACCGATTGCAAGATTTCTGCCAAAGCCTCCACAACCAAAAGGAGCGAAGAAAGCCTTCGGCGGAGGAGGCGGCGGCGGCGGCGGTGGTCGCGGTGGAGGTGGCTTTGGTCGTGGAGGAGGTAATATTTTGAAATTAATGTTTACAAAAGAGAGACTGACTTTTATTCCCAACAGGTGGTCGAGGAGGCGGAGGCGGACGAGGTGGTGGCGGATTCAGAGGAGGAAACCGCGGAGGCGGAGGCGGTGGTGGTGGATTCAACAGAGGTCGAGGAGGCGGCGGCGGCGGAGGAGGTGGTCGCGGTAGATGGTAGTTTTCAATATCTGACCCGCACTAAAACATTTAAAGAAACGTACAACACACTTTTTGTACAGATCCAAATAGTTTGTAAGCAAAGCCCCATTTGGGTATTATTCGCTGACCATCAAATCGAATATTTTACCTTAAATGCTACTAAAATAAATTTCCTAAAAAAGTATACTGATGTTTTTTTTTTGAAAGCTTTGCTATGGTTTTTTTCATTTGTATTCGTTTTCCTTACAATTATGAAGCTAAAGTAATTGTTAAACCAGAATACCGAAGAAATATTATAGTCTTCAAGGAAAGCGGCTTCTACTGCCGCTTTACTAAAATGGCGTTCGAAGGTTTGAATCATAACTTTGCTTCAACCGTTCAAAAAGCAATTAATAATATGATGTCACGAATTTCTCGTGTATTAAAAAGATATTGCCTAACATACACAATACGGCACACGTAAGTGTTGATATTTTTTGGCCTGAGGAAGACATAGATTAAATTGGTGGTAAGAGATTTTCAGCTCGTTCATCTAATGGAATAAGATAAGACCTAAACAATTCTGAAATTGGAATTGATTGATTTGATTTTTTCTTTTTGATTTATTCTAAATTATCTGTTGTGTTAAAAACATCTGATTCAACTGATGGCACCTTCAGAAAAAGAAATAATTAATAGCCTTTCAAATGATAAGACCGACTTCGTGTGAGAAACGAATGACTAACGGAAGTTCGAAGCACTACCGATTAGGTTTTAGGGAATTATAAAGTGTCAGATTTATGTAAGCATCACACTCATCCGAGTTCCCTTGAAATTTTATGATTTTCTGCGAGGTTTGTTTAAAATCCTCAATATTGTTTGGTATGGGGGTTTCCTTCCGCTGTTCGATTCGTGCATATAATTTGTTTAATTTGCAGCTGTTCTCAAAAACGCAACGAAAATATATTGGAATTATATGTGCCAAAAATTGTAAATACTTTTTTTGGCTTCTCGTATTTTATCTTGAACCCCACTGACGTCATAGTTGCCATAATAGAGCATTTCTCCACTTCGAAATTTCACATAAATTAAATGTTTTGTTAAATTTTCATCAGATACTTTCCGGAACCCCCTTAAATCTTCACCCCGAACTGTCGGATGGTCTAGTTCCATTCCCTTTCTCCTCTGAAACGTTGATGACGGATCGTATTCGCTTTTATGGAATTTCACTGCGATTCTGTGTTTGTTTATTCTTCGCAATTTCATTCAACATTTCCGAATTGCCTTCGAGATTTGTTTTCCATTTGGGCATGCACCATTTTATAAAATAGCCGGACTTTGCCTCCAATAGTCCATAGAATGGTTATACTAAGCATTATTTTAATCGCACTAGCAACAGTTTTATGACGGCTAACAAATATTGCTTCTGCTTGAGTATTATAAAGTGTTTTCCGGTTTATTCAACTGTTCGATTTGGTGTTTACTCGAACAAATCAATAAGACTTTATTGTAAAATTCGGACATTTTATTACTCACTCAAGAGATAATTTATGAGACCTTTCCAAAAATGTTATAAGCCATTCAGGAGACAAATTATTTGAATATTTCACTGTGTCATGGGTAATGTTTTAGTGACATATTGGCATATCCCTAAAAATAAGTAAATACTATATGTAGTGAGCATTGATTCTCAAGTGAGTCATGAACATGAGCAATCGTAGACCATTTATAAAGACTCGATTCCAAATTGAGTACCCTTTAGGCCTATGTTTTGTTTATACTTGTGCCAATTTTGACAAGTTGATTATACTGAATGCACTCACTTTGCAATTCTGTTTACAATGCAAACGTTTAAGCAGGAAAATTTTCTCGTCGCATTGTGGCAATAACTTGGCAATTTGTGTTAATTGCTTTTTTGTTCATGTGGGTGCAAAGTTTTCCACTTCCACACTTACGGATTTATTTGAATTTTTTTAATGTTTCCTCTCTTGGAAACTTGTCAAAAGTGGCGACGAAAGAAAAGAATTTATTCACTAAAAAATATGTTTTTAATTTTCCCATTTATCTTACTTGAAGTAAAACATGTCACCAGGCAACAGATAAACTTTTCGACAAATCCAAAAAACAAGTCAATCGAATTAAAGGGCCATCAAATCATTAATTAACCATACAATGAATTTGAAACATAAGTTTCCAAAGCACAATCATCACTCATAACACAGATTTGTTCGGTTGAACTCATTTCCATTTTCATGGCATGTTTATGAGCGGGAAAAGTCTTTTGCAAATTAAAAGTGAAATTAAAAACAAATTTGATTAAGAATGTGTAAAGTGAATATTCGGCGAAATTCGTTTATAAGGTAAAAGAGTGTTTCGTGTGTTATTTATAAGTCCCAATTGTGAGGAGTGACAGTATTCCAAAGAATTTCACAGCCTCTTGAGAGATCTCATAACTTTGTCTGCACAAGAAGAGACACAATTTTTTTATCTCGCAAATGTCGACGATCGCAAAAATATTCGAAACTATTTCTATCTTTTGTGTCACATATTTCGTTGGCTTAATAATGAAGAAGAATAAACATAAATAGACCATCTTGCGTCCCAAGCAAACTTATATATCTTATCGGCGTGGGCGTTTCTGCACTTCCAATTCTCTTGGATGTTACGAAAGTTCACCTAGAAGGATCTTTGTAGTTCCACTCACCTATGGTCGTGTAAATGGTGGCAGCATAGACCATGGCGTCCCAGAAGGTCCATACATTCGACTTCTTATCAAGCATTAGTTGTCGCATTAACGATTCGATCACCGAAGGATATTCGTTAAATACACCCAGCACCCTACCATCGATTTGTGTATTCAATAGCTGAAATTACAACAAAATGATAGATTATCTTCGATATTTTTTATATTAGATTATATCTTACCCCGCTTGTTTGTGGATCTTTGATCATCTCTCTCATATCGCCAAAGAATTTCTTCTGCTTTTCCTGCAGTTCCATGTCATTCAGATCTTCTTGAATGTCTGCAGGAGGTTGGGTTGGTTCAAAGTGGTCTTAAACAAGTTAGATTGGAAGTGGAAGGAGTTGAAGAGGGTTTGGGTCAAGGTTGGCATAAATAAGTAAGTGAAATCGGACTGGGAAAGTTGCCAGATTCACAGAGTCTTATATTTAACACTGCAATAAATCAAGGAGATTTCGATTTTCGAATGCTACTCATCAGCAAATCATCATCACTCTTTAGAAGTTCTTTATTACAATGAAGCCTCTAGGACGGGACTCCTCCATCCGCCCGTTAATCATCTGCAACTGGACGTCTTGGTTGTTTATACGACACATTAATCCCCTAGCAGCTGTGATTCATACAGACACATATGTGTACCCATGGGATTCGAGTGTTCCATGGACTTGGATACTGAATCAGTCTGCCAAATTGATGGGGCTTGTTTTTACGATTACAATACAGCGCACACATTCGGCAGGTGTATTTATTTGAATGGCTGGGAACTGAACTGTTTACTATTTTCCAAACAATTGCCAAAGAGCTTGATAAGCAAACAAAGTCGGTGCACTTCTGCACGTCCGGATGTCTTTAACCCTAATGAAATTGTTTTTGATTTTAAAGGAAAGCTAAGGATACACCTTATCTATGGCTGAACTAAAGTTGATGAGGAGATTGGTCTATGGAGATTGAATCTCCTAAAACTCACTTTCAATGTACATGAAGAGCAAAGCTCCGCCCGCATTGTATAGTGCCAGGATCAGGAGCAGGAAGATGTGGGTGAACCACCGGCGCGACCAGTTGCTCAGCTTGTTATACATCCCAAAGGTGAACTTCTCGCCGAAACTCATGCCCGACTTGGTGAGGTCGAGGAAGCCCTCGTAGCCCTTGGTCATGAAGTTCCCGGATCCGAAGGGATTGGCCATGGGCGGCCAGTAGGGTCCCTGTGTTCCATTTCCCGTGAAATTCGTCTGAGCTGTGTAGGGAGGCTGGGCACTGGGTGGCATCGATGCCTGGCTCATCGCCGATCCGCTGGTCAGATTGTGGATATTGATTCTTGGCGGTCGGTTGGCCCTTCGAGGTCCTGGCGGTGGAGTACTGGGTATGGGCGTTACGCTTTGCCCTTGCGACATGGTGGAAGATTTTCTCGGGATAACTTTGTAAAACTTGGAATATTTTAGAAACTATTTTGTTGGAACTTTTTTCTTCACTGGCTGGACCGCAAAACCTCAAAATATTGGGCACTTTATCGTCATTACTTGAGTTCCGCTCACATATATACGAGATTGTACTTATATATTTGTATTATTTTTAAGTTTATAAGTAGAACTGCCGTCGCGATTCCACGGCGCCGCGTATTTATTTCTCCGCGTGTTTTCCCGATGCTCTGGCTGTTTCCTCCCGTTTCCGACCGCCTCGTTCATGAATCCAATGCGAACTGAACAGAGCTGAAGCAAAATATTTTGGCCAGCATCGGTGCTGTTGTCGCTGTCGCTGGGATGGTATAGTATTCGTATATGTGTTTGTATCAGCCACGAATCTCCGGCTGCCGACTATGACGACATCGCCGGTCATGAGCTCACGGGTCCACCAAGAAACCCCAACTGATCTCAGCGCACAAGCTAATAATTTTATAATTATGTATTGTTGACGTTCATTAGCAGCCGAGCTTCATAAATCGAGTTCTGTTCTGGTTAACTCGCAGTTCTCTTATTATATTTTATGTTGTTATTTATAAATATGTCTTCTCATTCGCTTCTGGATGGCACTAATGAATTAGGCATTTTACCTCGCATAATTATCAGTATTAAGCATTTTCTCGCTTTCTGGCGCTTAGTAATTTGCATAAAATCAAGTCAACGGACGGTATTAGTCATTCATGTCCGGCACTCACTTATTTTTTCATAGAGCTGTGCCTAATAGATTTTGTCTTTTGGCTTACACACAAATGGTGAAGCACTTTCTAGGAAATACTTAAATAATAGAGAAGATCTTCTGATCAACTAAGATGAATATATTATACGAGTATGTATAGTATTTGGTTTTATCTCTTTTTAAGTGCAATTATTTGGACGGATCTTTCGGATAATATTTAAATGGTTTCTTTCATATATTTATTTCATATATCTTGTTTGGACCAATAAAATGTGTATATATTCGAGTATATTTTGTTTTCAACTTGCTTTCTCCAATTAATCATTCAATTGTTATTTTTAGTTAAGTGAGGGTGGTGATATCAAAAAAGTTACATATTTGGTTTCTGCATTTTTAAAATTTTAAAAAGGATTTTTTAAGTTAAAATATAGGTTTAGAGATCTTAAATTAAAACAGATCATTTTAAAACAAATTTTTTTTATTACTGGTAAGCTTAACTCGAACTCGCTGTTATATTAAATAACATTTAAAGCAAAACTCTGTGCTAAAATAATATTAAATTTATTTGGTGTATTAAAAAAGCAAATGAAAACGAATGCATATTTTATATTGAGCCCAATAAATGTTTTTTATAAAAATGTATTTATGTTATTTATGAACATTTGTGTTCGATTCCTTTAAATGAGATGTGTTTTAAGTTTGAGGTTAATAGATAGTAAATTAAAAATGATTACAGATCGGTGTTAGACTCTTGTTCAAAAAAGAACCGGAAATGAAATATTTTCAAATTAAAAATTTTTTTTTCGCGCCAATTACTAGATGGTGTGGGCACTGACTATCGATAATTCCGTTCGTGTATGGAAACCAGTGTTGAGAAGCGCGCGAAAGTGTTCTAATTGCTGCGCTTACATATGTACATATAAACTATTAAATTGGCCATCAACATAGAACATGGAAGAAAACGAGACCAGGACGGAGGCCAGAGAACCCACGGACCTGGCCAATGGTAAGACAGCGGCACAGGGTGCCAGGACTCCCGGAAACTAACCGAAAACTCCATCGGCAGGCGAGGATGACGCGACCAGCCAGCATAAATTTAGTCACCTGCAGAATGAGATGCGCAAAATGCAGAACGAGTTCAACACGCAGCGGGCCAAGATGCGGGAGCTCTACATGCAGAAGGAGGCGGAGGTCAGCCAGAGCCAGCTGGAGCGCCGCCAGCTGCAGGCGGAGCTGGACGAGCTGAAGACCAAGTGCGTGGTGGCGGACCTCAAGTCCCAGAACGAGTTGCAGATGAAGGACATCAAGGCGCAGGAGGAGATCTCCTCGCTGCAGCAGCTGGTGCAGGACACCATTGAAGAGTCCGCCCACTACAAAGGCGAGCTGGAACACCTCAAGCTTGAGCTAGCCAAGTACCAGCAAGCGCATACGCAGGCTCATCAACATCCACCTCAGGCGGAGTCGTCCGGCGGAATAGCGCCACAGGTCCTGAATCAGGTCAAAAAGACGCTGGGCTCCGTGCGCAAACTGGGCACTGACTCGCTCAACAGCAGCTTTCAGCAGGAGGAGGACACCCGGGCATCGAGCAAAGGCAATGGCAAGCAATTTGTAAGTTTCCGACACAGATCTTGCACTGGTCTAATAAACTATCGTTTTACAGGCTTCCGAGGAGGTGGAGATGATGCACTCCATCGTTGAGCAGCTGCAGGAAGAGATGAAGGCCCTGAAGGTGAAGCTGCGAGAACAGGACGAGCAACTGCAGGCCAAGTCGGCGACCGAAGAATCCGCCCTGCACAAGTCCACGTCCATGGATGTGGCTGAGGGTCACTGTGAATCCTGCAGCTCGGCGGAGAAGAAGACAGATGAGCTCAATGCACACATAAACAAACAACAGAAGCAGGTGGACTTGCTGCAAAAGCAGCTGGTGGAATCTCGGGAGACCCTGGCCAAGGAGGCGGCGCTGCGCAAGGATCTGGAGGACCAGTGGCAGGAGAAGCGAGAGGCACACAAAAGCGAAGTACAAAGTCTACGCGACCAGACCAAAACCAACGAGCAGCGTCTACTGGACATGCAGCAAAAGTTTCTCGAGACCAAGGACGAGGTCATAAAGCAGATTCAGCGCGTCACCGACGACCGGGAGCGGGTCAACAAGCAGTTGGAGACGTTGCAGGCCGACAATGACTTCCTGTCTGGGCGCTATTTGGCCACGTCCCAGGAGATTGACAACCAGTATATCAACCTGCCAAACACGGTCGTCGAGCTCCAGGAGCTGATGCTGCGGCAGCAAAGCGAGCTGATCCAGGCACGAGTCAGCAGCGAGTACGAGCGCCAAAAGTGCACCAGCACTGAGGATGAGATTCAGATCTTGCGGGCCCAGCTGGAGGAGGCCAACAACGATCGGCGGGCCTACAAGCGCAAGATGCAACTAGATATTAAGTCACTGCAGTAAGTGCCCGCCTCTGTTGAGTGAAGTGTAAGCTGTATCTCATGTTCGATCTGCATTTCCAGGGACCGGGTGACGGAGCACTTGGTCACGGTGCAGGCGTACGAGACGGCCAAAACCCAACTCGAGCGCAAAGAGGCTGAGCTCAATAAGCAGCTTTCCGAGTGTCGCGTGGAGATCATTGAACTGCAAGAGGCCAATGTAAGTCAAGACTTGTAGTTATCAAAGTATGCTTGCCACCAAAAATAGCATTTTACAGGAGAAGTACGCCAAGACAAACGCGGACTACAAGACGAAGATAAAAACGCTACAGGAGGAACTGTCTACCATGGAGACGGTTCAGAAGGATTTCGTCAAACTATCTCAAACTCTTCAGGTGAGTGTGATATAAAAATATGGTTTATTCACTTAACTATTTACAATTTGTTCTGTTGTTATGCCACAGATGTCGTTGGAGGAGCTGCGGCATGCCGATACGGAGGTGCGCTGGCAGGATGACGATGACGTGAACAACTGCCCCACGTGCAACGCCTACTTCACGGTCATGGTGCGCAAGATCCATTGCCGGCACTGCGGCCACATCTACTGCGATAAGTGTCTAACGAAAACGGTGCCATCGGGACCCCGGAAGCGAGTGACCCGAGTCTGTGATATCTGTCACACGCTGCTCACGCCGAACACCGCTCCCTACTTCAGTCAGGGACAGCCGCCGCAGCAGCAGCAAGGCCAGCAGCAGCAGCAGTCCAACTAGGCGGCAGGGCTCCAAGCCCAGGTTATTGTGTGTTATGTGTGAACTACGATTACGATTAGTTGGTATCTCCTTAAACTCTATTGCTCTTGTTCTGTGCTCCGGTATACATAAAACGATTACGATTCGAGGTCAAACCTTTCCAATGCCGCACTGCGTTGCGAGTCATTTCCACTTTCCATTTGCCAATGTCTAATTTCGATTAAGCCGTACCTTCTTTGTGCTCTATATAACGTAAGCGATGAGTTGTCTATGTTAGCTTTTGTCGTAGGTAAGTTTTCATAATTGAATTGAACTCAAAGCAAATATACAAATAAAAAACAAATAATATTTGTTGTTTGTCGCCGCACATCTTTACTTGAACCAACTTTGCCTGCAAGAGAGGGAGCAATTAAATGATGATGTGTATTTTAAGGAGAACTCATGCAACATATATTTTGTGTTCTTGTTTATTTAAAAATACTACGCAAATAGTTTGTAAATTATTGTTAACAATTGTATTTGTGTCTTCATTTGGTTGCGAGGAGCTAGGATTGGTATAGGTATTTGCTAGATATTAAAAGTAATAACAATGTCGGGCATGCCCATATAAATTCAGTATGTACAACTCTCACTTCAACTACCAAATAATGATAATCTAATACTGCAATCTCCGCATTCAACGAAAAACGTAAACAACAACAGACACTACGCACACACACGGGGAATCACATAACTCGGGAAGCAATTACGGGTTGTTTGGCACAGAGTGTCTGCGGAAGAGATAGAAAATTTAAACGCCCAATTAGCCTGTCTCCGGAGATAGATTCTGATCTGATTTCGCTTACCTCACCATAGAAAACGGCCTGCTATCAGAGCTACTATGGTCACAGCTGCCACGCCCACAACGCTCATCACCCGGGTAGCTAGATGGGGAGAAATGAATTCTCAGATCAGTTCATTAAAAAATGAATGGGGAAAATGTAAAGCAAAGGAAACTGATAGATTTGATTGGATCTTATAAAATTTTTCCCGGGTTAGTAGGGTCAGTTTCCTTAAAGCTCGCATTTAAGCATGCTAGATAAGCGAAGATTGAATATATGGTTAGGTTTTGGTAGCCGGTAAGCCAGGATTAAATAAGTGGTTTAGATTTTTTAGCCGGTTGATAGTATTTAAGGGGAAGTACATATTTGGAGGACAAATACCATGGATCAGTCTGTTATGGGCAGTGTGTTCTGGACCTCGTGCTGGGTGGTGGTTACACTAAACATGGCCTTGACATTCACAAACAAAAGTCTACCAAATACAATGAGCCAATTGGACACTTACTCGTGAATCCTCATTTTGATAGCGATGCTCGGCCTGCTTTGAGACATTTAATGTTCTTTTCGATTTTTGCTTGAATTTTGGACAAGTCACACGAATGTGCAAACGTGGACTGAACGTGGAATACATGGACAAGATGGACAGTACAGAGATCCGGATTCCTGGCGGTGCTGTGACTGTGGTTGTAGTGCTGTGGTTCGTAGTGCTTGGCTCGGGATTTCGATGGTTCGCGTTACAGATATAGGTTATAGACAGCGGCTTGTATAGGTATAGATATTGCGTAGAGAGAGAGAGCATTTTCTTAGCCTAACGATGAGCAGTTGATGAGCGCTTCTGGATGGATGCTTATGTAATGTACAAATATCTAAATACAATTTTTCGAGAAAAAGCTTTGGCTTTGAGCCTGTGATGATTCTGACAATGATGTCTGATGGATTTGCGTTCTGGCCTGGCTGCAGATTCATTCTACTGCTGCTCTTCACCTGCTGCGCCGCCTCCGCCGGCTGCACCGGTTGAAATGTCGCGCCCGTGCTTGCTGAGCCACTCGATGATCACCCCGTTGGACCATCCGAATCCTGTCTGAACCTCGTACTCGCCTCCGCCGCCTCCGACTCCGAACTGATCGGCGTTGTACTGAAATGAAAGAACAGCGTTATGTGTATTAAAGAAAAAATATCTGACCCTCCACAGATTCAAATAATATATTAACTCCTGGTATACTTATAATATACAGAATTATGGTTTGAGCCGTTCTTAAAATACTCTATTATATTAAGAACAATCTGAACTCACCTTCTCGTACATATGCCTGTCCTTGCTAAAAGCCTTAAAGTTGGATTTCACCCACTTGGTCGCCCACTTCATGGACATATTCTTGGCCTCGGGAGTGTTTAGGTTATTCAGACCCTCGACCAGGATGTACTGCATCGGAGCCCACACATTGGGCGCATCCCACTGCTCATTGGTGTAGCTCAAAGTATTGGGAACTCCGCCAGGGAATGTGTCCAGCTTGTTCTTCTCAATGTAGGCCATAATGGAAGCCGAAATCTTTTCGGACTCGGAAATGTTGTATGCCTTAACCCACAGCGGTGAGAGATTGGTGGGCACGAAGTAATCTCGTGGCTTCTCGTTCTTCATATCGTAGTCCAACCAGACACCTGCCTCCTCGTTCCACAGAACTTCTTGGATGCCCTATAATGCGAGGAATATTGACAAATTTGAGCAAGATTCATTTTATGGTTAGTCACCATGATGACACATATTATAATATTTGAAGATTGTAAGAACCTATGTATAAGGATGACGTACGAGTATGTGACTTTCATTTATCCCATTTTAGATTACATTACTTATTTTACTAAAATGTGTTCATTTAAAAAATACAAGATGGTAAGATTTTCATTATATATCTACCGAATTTTGAGAGCGAACAAATATTCTTTAATCAGGCGCTCCCTAACCTATAATGTAAGTTATGAGTAACCTATGCTTTATCATCATCAACAGCATTAAGCCATGTAATTACATACAGAGCCTCTGAACTATGAATATGGAACGTATAGAATCTATATCATAGATATAGATTTGAACAGATGTCTCCCTAAAAATTAAATAACTTGGCTGTCTTGATAAAAAATTCTGGGTAACTTATTGTGATGAAGGATAACCTGGAGCTTTTCTTTAAAAAGTGATTCTTACCTGAAGGATCTTCTCGGCCTTAGTCTCGTACTCGGTCACCTTCTTGATGTTACCAGCTTTCGAGTGGAACTCGGCTATCAACTTGGCGTTCCAGTAGAGAAGGGCATTCAGGTCGACGGGTACAATGGAACTGGTGGCCAGATTGGTGAGATTTCCATCGTTTGTGCCGTCTTTGGAGATGAACCAGCGTGAGCTAAAGTCCATTCCCGACTCGGCCGCCGCCTTGAGCTCACTCCAATGGAGCTCCTTTTCCTCCTCAGTCGCGAACTCCTCGCCCGTCTCCACATCTTCTCTGTAGGACTCTGGACGTGGACCCGCAGACGAGTCGCGGTAGACGCACAGGGTGTGATTTTTCACCGTGACACTGTGATTGTTCGTAAAGAACTCGAACTCGTGCTCCAATGTATCCAATGCATCAATGGCGAATTTGTCATCGTTGGTGAAGTCCACGTATGACTTGACCATTCCGGTAAGAAGTGGCGGCTGGGAGCGACCGTGGTAGTAAACTCGTCCGCCATTAGGGATGAAACCGAACCGATTCACAATGGACAGGAAGTTCTGGATCATGCCGCGAGCAGTGGTATGCATCTGGCTGTAGAGGAGTCCCCTGATGATCCAGTAGGAGTCCCAGTAGTAGAACTCGATAAAGCGACCGCCGGGAATGATCACCGGATTGGGCACGGGGATGATTGAGTAGTACTCGGGATTCTTCGATACTTCGTCCTTCATTTTACGTCCCAGAATCTTCCAAATATTATTCAGTTCTGCGCCCCACTGCTTTAGATCGGGGTCAGAAATCAGATCGAGGAAGCTGGGGTTCTCCTTCCAATCAGTGGGCGTCCATGCTTCCAGTTCGGTGCCTTTGGGACTAAAGTATTCCTGCAAAATGGTGAAATTCCTGGTTCATCATTTTCTGCTAATATATCCGAATCCAATCCTATACTTACGTCAACAAACTTCTTAAGATCTTCACTAGTGGGTGTCTGGTTTTTAGCCTGCATCAAAGCTTCAAAATCCGCTAGGGTCTTATCGGGCGAGTTATTCAGTTTCATGTCTACAAACGTCTTGGAATCAGAAAATAGTTTTGGGTTGGCCGTTTGGATGGTGTGCAATAGGTTTCCCGTGCAGTAGATTTCACTGGAAAACAAGAAATAATTCAATTTAATAATTTTATTCTTTATAAAAAAATCACTTTGTAATTTACAAATGTAAACAAGATCTTATTATCACTTTCTTTTAGTTTTACTCAAGAGAAAAATACACTTTCTAAAATTAGTAGCTCCAAGGCAGGTTCTCTTTTTTAAATTTCGTTAATAATTAAATTTTTTTGTCAAGCCAGCGCCGAAAAGTCCCGGATGAGGCTTACGTAAGCCAGAGCATAGAATCTTTTGTTCCTATATAGTATAGTATACACTCTGACGGCACTAATTAGTGCAAATAATTCACGGGTTAAATGGATATAAAACCGCTCCAGCCCGAGTATCCAGGTGGTGCTGGTTAGGTGAACACCTGTCTAAAGCATCGAAGTATCGTATCTGTATCTGTTGATCAGATACGGCAAAACCTAATGCACGAATAACCAACACGTCACGTTTATGGCTCTGGGAAAGGAAAGCACTCAAGCTGAAAACTTGCTAATATTCAGCTCCAGACCCACAGCGATCAGAGATCAGAGTCCGGAAGTCTTTGGAAAACTTACCAACTTGGAAATTTGTCATCATTATCCTCGTAATTGGCAATGGCATTATCATTGTCGGTGCTGAGATCAAAACCATAGGACTTTGCCTGGGCGAGAGCTGCCAGGCAACTCCAGCTCACAAGGACCAGACCGACGATATATAATTTGGACATCCTTTTCACTTATACGCGGCTAATGAAGTAACTTTGTTCAATCTGCTTGGAAAACAATACAAAATGTTGCGTTGCTGAGGTAATTCTTTTCGCGTACAGGATATGCTCGCGATCCCTGAATGTGAATTCGATCTGAGCACAAGCACAACCAGCGCCAGTCAGCGCAAGAATACTTCTAATTGTTCCGCTCGATTCCGTTTTTATAAAACTAAATTAATCTACGAATGCGACGGAGAGTGCGACGACGAGCGATCGGCAAGCGAACGATCGTCGGGCGGGGCAAGGTGATATCTGGAGCCAAGTAAGTCATCGAATCCAATGGGGCGGAGTGGGGTTGTTTGGTCGGTTGGGCTGTTCGATCGACGGTCGCGCTTTGGGGGCGCGTTCCGTCTATTTTTAAAACCGTCAAAGTGGCCACATACGTATTTGTCGGGTTCACCTGCTCACAGGTCTCGTGAACATATAGTTATTCATCTCTTAATAGATCAGTCGATTCGTATCTCAGTTCTAACCGCTTGGGTTAATTACATAGAGTTTCCCCCAATGGCAAAGGGCATTCGACTGGGTTTTTGGCACACCCCTACAATTTCCATATGGTTAACTGTCGTATGAATATTCATGCCGCTGAGCCTTGATAATTGTATATCCATAACTATATCACTTATTAAAAGCTATTTTAACAGGCACCCGCATTATGAGATGGATTATGGCTTGGAAATGCTTTTTAATTGCAACATTTGCCTTGTTTTGACCGAGAAGGTTCCACTGTAATGCCAAGGTATTACTGATAACAAGCTTTTTTTTGGGGATTTTAGGCCTTGTTTAAATGCTAATGGGCAATGTTCCACTTAGGATAAGAGAGGTGTGCTAAATTTTCTAGGAATTTAAGCACCCAATTATCCAGAAATTTATAGCCTGATATCACAGTGATTTGCATACTAACACGGACTTTCCCATTTGAGGTCATGTATGATAGGAAGTGAGCTAAATTTTCTATGAATTTAAGTAATTAATTATCATAAGTCTGATATCACAATGATATTCTTTTAAAAATGGAATTACAGATTTGAGGTCATCAAAGAAAAGTGACATTCGCCTGCGATTTATTTATATCCATCAAGTTCCACTTCATCATACATTTCGCAGTCTATAATTAGAGCGGATTATGTGTTAGTGACACGTGTCTGACCCCAAATAATGGACCGGAATTGCGCCGTTTCGCATAAATGTCACGCTACGTAGTGTGGACCCTAACGAGTCTTAATTGAACTGATTTGCTGAATAAGGATTGCTTTCGAGAGATTAACAAATGGATATATAAGTAATCAAGATGCAAATTTAAGGCGCAGAAAGAAGGTTTCGTGTTGGATTTGGGATCTAAGTTTTTATTTTGATTCTTTCATTGGAACCGGAAATAAACAAATCGTTTAAGCGACATGTTGCACAACATATGCATATGCATCTTATAAAACATTAAGTGTATGATGAATTACTTTTATCGGGTATCATCACAGTCCGATGATATAACACCAGTTAAAGCATCTATGGCTCGGAAAACAAAGGGAATCCAAATAAACGGAACAATTGTGCAATTTAAATTGAGCCTTACGGGAATGAGAACCTGAAAGAGAACGATTCTCCGAGAATCCCATTGTTATGCCTTTCTGTGACGACAGCAGCTAGCAGGTGCGACTAGATAGATCATTGAATTGGCACGTCACAAGCTGTTAACATTTATGATTCCATTAGCGAAGCTATTCAACAATTAAATGTTAAGCCTCTAAGATTGATAGAACTTTACTTAACTTTAACTCTTTCCGCTTTGCTCAAATTCAACGTACTAAATAAATATTGAAATTACAGAATGTTTTTTGACAGTACTTCATATAACCATGGATGACAAATAGCTGACCTACGTGCCGAGCATTTCCAAATATGTAGTTAACTATTGAATTCAAAACATTATTGTTTCTTGCTTGCTTTAAATTCCCCTGACGAGAACTTCCGATTCCGCATAACACGAAATCAGACAATTCCTCCTTAAATTCCATATAATTCATAAAATTGCAACAAGAGATCGTATCAGATCATTATGGAATAACTATTGTTTAATACGCATTTTAAGGCTCGTGAACAAAATAATTAAACCTATTGAATGGGCGTTTACACTCTCACCATTCAACTGGGTTATTATGCTTGCCAGTTTATATAGATCTTTATTATAAATCCTCATTGTCGTCATTGGTAGAAGCGATAAGTGCCTCAGGTGACGTCTTTGTTCGAATACAATGCCCAAACACTCTCGATTCCGATTTTTGAACTCCACTCGAGAGCAGAACTTTGCCAAAAACATTCAAGGACAATATTAATCATTATGTGGGGCATTCAACGCGTTCGTATAATTGCCGTTTAAGTTAATCGCTCAACTAGCTATAATAAAGCACGGTCCGTTTGATGGCTAAGCCAACAATTTCAAACAAATACCTGATACGTACAGTTTGATATGTTTAGATCCGAGAGGAAAACGAAGAAACTCACACAAAAACTGGAAATGTCATTAAGAAGCCTGCAACAGGCTGAATTAACTTGTTTTAGATTTTGTGCGTAGTGCTTTGATTAACGGATCAAATACCGATACAGAGACCTTCAAAAGGTTATTGAATCGTAAAAAGGTTTGCACTTGCCGGCAAAAAAACAATGTATAAAATTATTCTCTCGAGACACAAGTATTTAACTTTTCCATTGAGAAGAAGGATTTACAATCAGGGACATTAGATCTGATTCTTAATTAAATAAGAACTTTTTCACCCAGTAACATAATATTCCACTTGAGCTTTAATCTGCCATCTTGAGTGGACAATAAAGGTTTATCGAATACTTTAAAGATCCAAGGCATTGAACTTAATCTTAAAGATTATTCGTTATCAGAGGAATTGTTTATTGCATTAATGATCAAAATAGATCTTGAAATAATCCACTCATGAGAGGACTGACGGTATTTTCTCTTGAGATACTGCGATCTTGAAATAATCCACTCATGAGAGAACTGACGGTATTTTCTCTTGAGATACTGCGACATTGCAGGTTCATTATCACCTGTAAGCTCTTCAACTGAAAGAACCCTTTTCACACAACGTATACAAGTATGCAACCAAGTTCAGGGAAACTGATAAGTAACTGATTACTTTTCTAAAGTCATAATCTACAAGTTTATACCAAGGAAAGTTACAAAACAAGTGATATTGATTTCGATAATTTTGAACAGGTTTAGCAGCAGCAAGTACTTTTTCAAGTCTGTCCGGATCCGCTTTTTTTTTAGTATATATTTTTTTGTTAATAACATTTGTGATGCCATTTGTATTAAAATTCAAAACGTAAATTTGGCAGTAGAAAAACAAGACTCGAAAAAATACTACTAGTCAAGCGTTTATTTTTTATTCAGTGGAAGATGTCTGTCAGCCAGTCCATTTAAATGTTAAGTACCCGGGGACCACAGATCACTGACACCGCAAGTCGGTGAGTAAAAATAACGCGGCTCGACGTTTGCAACACGATTAAGCTCAGGGAAAATATCAGCAAGTATCAGAAATCATCAGGGAAAATGTCAGCAACCACAACAATTTGTATTGAAAATTATAATTTAATTGCTTTTGTATATTTAGCTCGCGGTTTCTGTTTTTGCATCGACATGGGAGTTCCATGCCAATTTAAATTCACTAAATTACAATTGTTTTTATTGTTTTTTTGTTCATTTTTAAATGGGTTTCCAGTTTGTTTTTTTGCATTTCACACACTTTTATTATTGGCAATTCGCTGAGCTAAGTACGAGTTTTTATAACTCGGCCACTATCTCTATTGTGCAGCTGATTACTATAGAAATGCGCGGATTATATATGGGTACACTCGGTTCTAATCAAAAACGCTGCTCCACAGCACCTCGCCGATGTTGAGCGGTTGAAGGCAACGATCCGACTGCCCCAAGCCCAGTGTCGGAGATTTAAATTTAAATAAGATTTTCACAAAGATCCGACCAGAACAGAGTTACCAAGTGTTCCCTCGGAAGGAAGAATCAATCTCAGTTGATAATTGGGTCGAATTGTTTGCCTCTTTAGTTGCAAATGTTAATAAATAATATTTATTGATGCGTAAATATTTATTGATTGACAGCCATCAAAAAAGGGTTATGCAATTTGTTAAGCACTTGTTTGCATTATTATGGAATTTTTTATTATTGGGCACGGCAAGGAAATTGTAAATACTTAACGCCGATTTCCTTGAGCTCTCTTCTAAAAGCTTAAAAAATAGGTCGATAAGATAGAATCACTCTAAAATGAATTGACGTGGTTTTTTAGGCCCTGTTATCGCTGGCAGTAAGTAATATAAATCGTTATGATTTGGGAGAAAGATTATTCATTAATAAGATAGTCAGGAAATTGGCTCTTTAAAGTAGAAGTAATCAAAAATTTGCTATCTTATTGAAAACGAATTATTAGAATTGACATTTGATTTGCAAGGTAGGCACTTAATTATTAATAAATATAGTTCCCAAACAATTTTATGATTTAATATAGAGGGATTTAAATTGGTTTTGTTATATTAATCTTTTCTTTTTATTGAGTCATGTAATTTTATTGACTATGGTTTTTTATTTTTTCGTGAGTGGCCTTTATGAATTTCAAACAATTTGTTGTTTTATGACTAAATAAGATATGAATAACTCAATTTACGCAAGCAGCGGGTTATATTAAGGAACTGACTATTGTAACTATCTATTAGTTTGAATAATGCTCATTTTACTCAATACCATTGCAACACTGATTTTGACTATATTGTGACTAATTAAATAAAGCAAAAAGTTAGTACATTAAAAAGAAAAACCATACTAATCGGAAGAGGAAATGGATTCCCCATTAATAATATAACATAAATAATTTTGAAATGGAAAAAAATATTCCGAATTTTTAGACCCTTCAAAAAACCAATATATTATTTTTTCATTCACATTTTTGCATTAAAAACGGGTGACTGATATCGTGCAGTTTGCGGCTCATAACATCAGGCGACTCATTTATATGTAAACTTTATATCTACAGAGAACGTGCTCTGGCAGTCCAGGCTTTCTAATCAGTTTCAGACAAACTTGCCTCACCTGAGCCTGCGACGATTGGTGCATCTCCTAATCGCATTCTCATTTAATTTTTTCGACGAACAATGGTGACCCTGGAAGTGGGAAAATCGGGGCAGACACTTGATGATTTGCATGTCAAGATGTGAATATAGTCAGTTCAGAATATAAACTGTACTCTGGGGGATCTTTCTGAAAGTGATGCCTTGTCTGACTGTCTGTTAATGTCGGA